TAAATTGTTCAGATGGTACAAATAAGTAACAGAATAATGTAAGTCATTTTATGAACTAGGTATGTCCTGAATATGAGTAATATGTTGCTCTTCTAGTAACCTACAAGGTCACATACTTTTTCCAGGATGTGACAAATGGAAATCGTAAGAAGGGCTGCAAATGGTTATATACCAGTCATGAAAATGTAAATGATGATGACTTATTGAATAGTGTAGATCCAAAGGAAGGTAATAATATTCTAAAATATGAACCACTGATTCTCCATGTTCAATGCCGTACACTGGAAAGTGCAAAGTTAATGGTAAGTGTACATAAAATAAAAAGTTCTGGTACTGATACAGGGGATTTAATTGGATAATGAAAGTCAAAAGATGTAAGTCTTGAAAATGAATTTTAACAATCATGAAAAATACTTATTGGGCATTTAAAGTGATGGAGCAACTACTAGAGAACAATTGTGTAATTTAGTTTTGACGTAAATACGTCTATATTTTAGGGTCAGTGTCATTCGGCAAAAATGTAACGAAAAAGTGTTACGAAATAGTGTTATGAAAAAGGGAAACAAAAAAGTGTAACTTCATTGTTATGTTACCTAGGAAACATCAAACTTCATTGTTATGTTACCTGGGAAACGAAAAATTGTAACTTCATTGTTATGTTACCTTGGAAACGTCATCTGTTTATCAACAATGGTTACCTACATAGTTACTTTACATTACCTTACCTTACATTATATTACCTTACCTTACCTTACCTTACCTTACATTACATTACATTCATCTACCACAGACCCATCTGAAGCCTTACTAATTCAAATTAAATAAGCAATGTCTTAATCAAACTTTACTCAATTGTAAAGCATGTATAAAGGAAATATTTAGAATATATAAACTTCCTTTCCGTATAGACGTATTTACGTCAAATTCTCCGGAACCGTGGTTCCACTGACAACTTTTTTAGCTCGGTGACATCTCTGGTGAGGTAAATGAATTAATTTAGTGGTGAATATGTGTCTTTTGTTTTCTTTCAGCATACATGTGCATTGGAATCAGGATTCCGTAATTCAGGGATCACACTGGGAAAACATGGTAAAATTATTCTAGCAGTAAGGAGCTGCATTGGTTTGGAAGTTCCATTAACTGAAGATGGGATCACGTTAGTTTCTAATGAGGTCTGTATTAAGTACTTGTGATGGTTGTGTATGACTGTTATTCAGGCATTGGTGATTTGCCAAGATTTATTCATGCTTTAACTGAATGAGATGTCTGGATATTCATTGACTTAACTTTATTTTTATTTTGTGCATAGTAAATGCTGAAGACAGTGTATTGTGCCATGCCTATCCTTTCACCAGCTATCAATGTTGCATCTTATTTGGATCCTTTTCCTTCAGCTTCTCTGGACACACAATGCCATTTTTACATTATGATGACTTCTTTCTTTCTTTCTCTTTTGTGCTCTTATGCATGAATACTTGATAGCATGTTAAAATTCCAAGTATTCTGTTTGCTACTGTTTACTGTTTTTATGGTGATTATTTTGTCCAAAAGGGTAATTTTGGTTCCAGTTAGTAAAATTCCATTTTTATTCGTATTAGATGGAGTGAATATCTGTAGTATTTCACTGTCCTACCAAGATGTACCTGTATAAGCCAAGACAAACATTCCTTCCACATGTTATACCAGTCATCCTGTAATTCTGGAAATAATGAAGTAATCTGAAATCCCTTTAATATAGGACAAGTAATAAAGTAAATGCCAGACACAGTGGCGGCACAGTCTGAAGCGTAGGCCTTGTGTGCTTGGACACTGGGACCATGGGTTTGAATCCCACATCTTTTTGTGTTTTGCTGTCCCGTGTACAAGTAGAGGCCTTGCGATGGACTGATCACTCATCCAAAGAGTCCTACCAAATGTCTAACAGATTACTGAAATCTCTTAATAAGAAGCCCCATGATTCATGTAGGAGCAAAAAGGGGGGGGGGGAGAGAGAGAGCACAAATATTCAAGTTTTGTGCTCAAGTTTCTGTGAATCACTCTCAGGTGGCATAGTCAGTATCTTTCAATATATGTTATACATACTGCTTGACAACTCCTCCACTCTTAATTTCAGTATGTACATGACTATATTTTCTTGTGTGTTGAAGATTTGATTTTAAAATTTTATTGCAAGCTTCAATGAGCATACTGTTGTTAGGAAGTTGTGTTCTAAATTTTTATACTTCTGTGGTCAATGCTATATAGCCTTAAAAACTGAAGCATCATTAACTAAACAAGGAATAAATAAGTACCTCTGTGAAACAAGATTTACTGCTACTGCTGTCATAAGGCCCAGATAATGTACTATGCAGATAATAAGTAATCATTCATCAGTTACCATTACTTCAGACCATAGGACTTTTTAAAGTTTAAATAAATATAACCATTTTTCCCTTCATGAACACAGTTGTGTCAAGTTTCCTAACAGCTATACAAGACAGTATTATTCAGACCATTGTGATTTTAGTAAATGTCTATATACTGTATCTTTCTATTTACAGTACATGAAGTTTCTTACAAAGAAAGCAAATGAAAAGATTGAAGAAAATAAATTGAGAACTCAAAGATTCTTCTATAATCTTGGCAGCATCTTAGGAAACAAAGAACAGGATATACTTACAAATAAAACATGTTAGTGTTAACATAAATGCTCTTTAATTAACCTTGTTACTGTACATGTGCTAATGTAATTTATTATAATTAATTACAAAACTACCTGCATTTATTTTACATTAATTTCATACTTCAAAATATAATGTAATATATGATTAGAATGAGTGAAAAAATTATAATTATTGTTATTAACTTTTTCAGGATAACTTCATTTGTACCTTGAACACTTCTAATAATCTCATTATTCATCATAAATACAGTTTTGCTTTCTTCAATTAACTTCTCTTTGGTCCCTTCATCCAATACCCCTGCAATTCCATTCATTGCTTCTACAAGATCCTTTTTCATTTTTGATATATTGGTAGTTCCAAAATCTGTCACTGCATCTTGATATGTCTGCTCAGTAGAAAATGGTATGAATTTCCTAACCACAGCACGTTTTTTTCTGAGAATCTGGCCTCCTGACAGAAGACCCATATATAAATGATATATGTATGCCATGAGTTGGTTTGGATCAGAACTCTCAAGTTTCCTCAGATGGAGGAGGTATTTAATTACACTGTCCCTGGGTTTGTAGGTTTTCATCCAGTCAGTGCCCAAGTAGAAATTTAAATCTTTCTCAAATGCTTCTGTCCTCTGCATACCTTCAATGTAAAGTTCTCCAACATAAGTGTGTTTTAATCGTATCATGGCTTCTTCAAGGTAGCGGAATATTTCATAAAATACAAGCAAACCTTCTGCCCACACGCAGTTGTTTGAAAGGGCTGCAAAATAGAAAAGCTTAAACATTTTCAGAAAAATTTTGTATTGAACTCCACATCTACTTTTTACATGTATTTTATAACAGAAGGCAAAGTTGTGGCATAAATATTTCATCCTAAGAGGTACGAAGCCACTAACAGTCAAATGGATAACATTTCTAAAGAAAGAATTTGGTAGTATGCACACACATACATTGTGTTTCCATAGAAGAATGTCAGTAATTCATCATGAGAATAATTATGTAGTTTTATCTGATTTGCTGTTATAGGCTAAAGATTTATTTATCTTTGCTGATTGGTTTTCTTCTACTATGGAATATTTACCTGTTTTGATTTTCACAACTGAACAATGACCTATCCTAGTACTATCTATACTGATATAAACGCCATCAGTGGTAGTGTTCAAGCCATTTTGGATTCTTGTTCGGGCATTTACATTTGATTTCAGAGTAAATGGGAAAAAAGACTTTTGGTAAGAAAATCCATATTTATGTCACCACAGATGATAATAAAGATAATTTATAATGTAGTCAAACTTCGTAAGAATTGCTGAAAGTCTCATGTGGGTGCTCTGTATAATGCTAAAACATATGTTGGAAAATTTAGATTCCAGTTATATTCTATATCAATCCATACAGAGATGCAATATATCTACCTGATTAAGTTTTAAACTCTTTCTCATAAAGATACTCCTGCATGCCACTCTGCACACCAGGCCCAACTGGCTAATGTGCAGCCACTAACACAAAACTGGGTCGGGTCAGGTAGACACTGAGCATGGACAGGATCTCCTAGAACTGCAGTACCCTGAGGATGAAGATGGTTCTCGAAACATTGGTGTTTTCTTCATTAAGCCACCTTCCACGGCTGGTAGCCCGAGAAGAATTTATTATACTGATAATTTTTATTTATTTAGTTTGGAACATCCCACATAATCCCTGATTTCTTTAGGCCAGGTCCCTTTCACCTAAATCAGTTCTGTGAGTACTGATATACAGAGGATTCTGGTTAATTGGGACTAGAACACTTTGGCCCAATTAAGCAGCTGCCCCAATTATGTGAAGTTCCACATAAACAGTTAAAAAGGTTTGTTTTTTAAGATTTGTCTCAAATAAATGACTGCCCAAATTAACTGATGGCCCAATTAATTGGAATATACTGTATTAACAATTAAAATGAAGATGACTGTCTTCTGGATGGTGACGAACATTTCAAAGATGCTTACTACCTTGGACATTAAGGTGATATGTCACTCACTGCCCTTATGATGGAGGCTGCAAGCACCTCTGAAACATGTCATTTTCTGCCAGAAACATTCCAGAAGATAATATTCATGCTTCCTGCCATGAGATGTGAGAACCTGAGATCTCAACTGTAATGTGGTGTAAATCCCTTTTTATAGTTACTGATGGCTACTGAAAATATTTGCACTCTGGAGGGAGAGATACAGCATCCTAACACAGAAAATCTACTGTACATGTCTTTGCAAGGCATATTCTATCTGAAAGCTTATTTATACTTGTACTCAAAACGTTTACAGAAACAACTCACCGAAAGCAAGTTTGGCATTCACTAACGTGTCACTAATCGCATGTATTTCCCTAGTTGCTCTTCTCATTTTCTTTGTAAACGATTCTTCCATCATTCTTTATATGTAATACTTGTGTCCGCTTAAAAGGTTATGTTTTAATATGGTGTTCTGCTATCAACATAATATTATGTTATCTGTGAAATTTACTCGTACCTTTCTAGTACATGAACTAATCTAAAGATAAGTGAATTGTCGCGCCATCTATTGGGAAGGTCTAAACTAATGGACCCGCGAACATTTTCTGACCCGTGGTGTGAGGCTTTATGCATCGGACCGGCGATACGGAATGCGCGCTGGTTCGAGTCTCGGGGGGAGAAGAAATTTTCTCATGAGCTTTCGACCAGTGTATGGGACCGGCGCCAACCCAGTATCGTGAGGAAATTGGGGAGCTACAATGAATAGCGTAATCCGGTCAGGAAAACTAGCAATGCCTGGGGGTTCGTCGTGCTGACCACAGGTCATCCTATATCTGGTTGGATGATCGTTCACCTCTGCTTAGGCATGTGAACGTGAGGCCAGCAGTCAAGCTAGTCGGCTTTGGCTCTCTGGAGCTGTTACCATGGATTTATTTTATAACCCGGATAGAATTACCGAAAACCTGCTTAGCCCTCTATTGGCAGAGACATGAACTAATGTAAAGATTATGTGAACTGCCGCGCCATATGTACCTGTGTGTAGGATCAGTACAATGTGTGCATGAGTAAAAACCACGTTATATGTTGATAATATGTGTCCCAGATACTAACCTCTGGTGATCAGTGTAGATAAATTTTTATAATCTGTGGAAGTAGGCAGTTTTGCTTTCTTCAATTAACTTCTCTTTGGTCCCTTCATCCAATACCCCTGCAATTCCATTCATTGCTTCTACAAGATCCTTTTTCATTTTTGATATATTGGTAGTTCCAAAATCTGTCACTGCATCTTGATATGTCTGCTCAGTAGAAAATGGTATGAATTTCCTAACCACAGCACGTTTTTTTCTGAGAATCTGGCCTCCTGACAGAAGACCCATATATAAATGATATATGTATGCCATGAGTTGGTTTGGATCAGAACTCTCAAGTTTCCTCAGATGGAGGAGGTATTTAATTACACTGTCCCTGGGTTTGTAGGTTTTCATCCAGTCAGTGCCCAAGTAGAAATTTAAATCTTTCTCAAATGCTTCTGTCCTCTGCATACCTTCAATGTAAAGTTCTCCAACATAAGTGTGTTTTAATCGTATCATGGCTTCTTCAAGGTAGCGGAATATTTCATAAAATACAAGCAAACCTTCTGCCCACACGCAGTTGTTTGAAAGGGCTGCAAAATAGAAAAGCTTAAACATTTTCAGAAAAATTTTGTATTGAACTCCACATCTACTTTTTACATGTATTTTATAACAGAAGGCAAAGTTGTGGCATAAATATTTCATCCTAAGAGGTACGAAGCCACTAACAGTCAAATGGATAACATTTCTAAAGAAAGAATTTGGTAGTATGCACACACATACATTGTGTTTCCATAGAAGAATGTCAGTAATTCATCATGAGAATAATTATGTAGTTTTATCTGATTTGCTGTTATAGGCTAAAGATTTATTTATCTTTGCTGATTGGTTTTCTTCTACTATGGAATATTTACCTGTTTTGATTTTCACAACTGAACAATGACCTATCCTAGTACTATCTATACTGATATAAACGCCATCAGTGGTAGTGTTCAAGCCATTTTGGATTCTTGTTCGGGCATTTACATTTGATTTCAGAGTAAATGGGAAAAAAGACTTTTGGTAAGAAAATCCATATTTATGTCACCACAGATGATAATAAAGATAATTTATAATGTAGTCAAACTTCGTAAGAATTGCTGAAAGTCTCATGTGGGTGCTCTGTATAATGCTAAAACATATGTTGGAAAATTTAGATTCCAGTTATATTCTATATCAATCCATACAGAGATGCAATATATCTACCTGATTAAGTTTTAAACTCTTTCTCATAAAGATACTCCTGCATGCCACTCTGCACACCAGGCCCAACTGGCTAATGTGCAGCCACTAACACAAAACTGGGTCGGGTCAGGTAGACACTGAGCATGGACAGGATCTCCTAGAACTGCAGTACCCTGAGGATGAAGATGGTTCTCGAAACATTGGTGTTTTCTTCATTAAGCCACCTTCCACGGCTGGTAGCCCGAGAAGAATTTATTATACTGATAATTTTTATTTATTTAGTTTGGAACATCCCACATAATCCCTGATTTCTTTAGGCCAGGTCCCTTTCACCTAAATCAGTTCTGTGAGTACTGATATACAGAGGATTCTGGTTAATTGGGACTAGAACACTTTGGCCCAATTAAGCAGCTGCCCCAATTATGTGAAGTTCCACATAAACAGTTAAAAAGGTTTGTTTTTTAAGATTTGTCTCAAATAAATGACTGCCCAAATTAACTGATGGCCCAATTAATTGGAATATACTGTATTAACAATTAAAATGAAGATGACTGTCTTCTGGATGGTGACGAACATTTCAAAGATGCTTACTACCTTGGACATTAAGGTGATATGTCACTCACTGCCCTTATGATGGAGGCTGCAAGCACCTCTGAAACATGTCATTTTCTGCCAGAAACATTCCAGAAGATAATATTCATGCTTCCTGCCATGAGATGTGAGAACCTGAGATCTCAACTGTAATGTGGTGTAAATCCCTTTTTATAGTTACTGATGGCTACTGAAAATATTTGCACTCTGGAGGGAGAGATACAGCATCCTAACACAGAAAATCTACTGTACATGTCTTTGCAAGGCATATTCTATCTGAAAGCTTATTTATACTTGTACTCAAAACGTTTACAGAAACAACTCACCGAAAGCAAGTTTGGCATTCACTAACGTGTCACTAATCGCATGTATTTCCCTAGTTGCTCTTCTCATTTTCTTTGTAAACGATTCTTCCATCATTCTTTATATGTAATACTTGTGTCCGCTTAAAAGGTTATGTTTTAATATGGTGTTCTGCTATCAACATAATATTATGTTATCTGTGAAATTTACTCGTACCTTTCTAGTACATGAACTAATCTAAAGATAAGTGAATTGTCGCGCCATCTATTGGGAAGGTCTAAACTAATGGACCCGCGAACATTTTCTGACCCGTGGTGTGAGGCTTTATGCATCGGACCGGCGATACGGAATGCGCGCTGGTTCGAGTCTCGGGGGGAGAAGAAATTTTCTCATGAGCTTTCGACCAGTGTATGGGACCGGCGCCAACCCAGTATCGTGAGGAAATTGGGGAGCTACAATGAATAGCGTAATCCGGTCAGGAAAACTAGCAATGCCTGGGGGTTCGTCGTGCTGACCACAGGTCATCCTATATCTGGTTGGATGATCGTTCACCTCTGCTTAGGCATGTGAACGTGAGGCCAGCAGTCAAGCTAGTCGGCTTTGGCTCTCTGGAGCTGTTACCATGGATTTATTTTATAACCCGGATAGAATTACCGAAAACCTGCTTAGCCCTCTATTGGCAGAGACATGAACTAATGTAAAGATTATGTGAACTGCCGCGCCATATGTACCTGTGTGTAGGATCAGTACAATGTGTGCATGAGTAAAAACCACGTTATATGTTGATAATATGTGTCCCAGATACTAACCTCTGGTGATCAGTGTAGATAAATTTTTATAATCTGTGGAAGTAGGAGCATGGACAGGATCTCCTAGAACTGCAGTACCCTGAGGATGAAGATGGTTCTCGAAACATTGGTGTTTTCTTCATTAAGCCACCTTCCACGGCTGGTAGCCCGAGAAGAATTTATTATACTGATAATTTTTATTTATTTAGTTTGGAACATCCCACATAATCCCTGATTTCTTTAGGCCAGGTCCCTTTCACCTAAATCAGTTCTGTGAGTACTGATATACAGAGGATTCTGGTTAATTGGGACTAGAACACTTTGGCCCAATTAAGCAGCTGCCCCAATTATGTGAAGTTCCACATAAACAGTTAAAAAGGTTTGTTTTTTAAGATTTGTCTCAAATAAATGACTGCCCAAATTAACTGATGGCCCAATTAATTGGAATATACTGTATTAACAGTGAAAATGAAGATGACTGTCTTCTGGATGGTGACGAACATTTCAAAGATGCTTACTACCTTGGACATTAAGGTGATATGTCACTCACTGCCCTTATGATGGAGGCTGCAAGCACCTCTGAAACATGTCATTTTCTGCCAGAAACATTCCAGAAGATAATATTCATGCTTCCTGCCATGAGATGTGAGAACCTGAGATCTCAACTGTAATGTGGTGTAAATCCCTTTTTATAGTTACTGATGGCTACTGAAAATATTTGCACTCTGGAGGGAGAGATACAGCATCCTAACACAGAAAATCTACTGTACATGTCTTTGCAAGGCATATTCTATCTGAAAGCTTATTTATACTTGTACTCAAAACGTTTACAGAAACAACTCACCGAAAGCAAGTTTGGCATTCACTAACGTGTCACTAATCGCATGTATTTCCCTAGTTGCTCTTCTCATTTTCTTTGTAAACGATTCTTCCATCATTCTTTATATGTAATACTTGTGTCCGCTTAAAAGGTTATGTTTTAATATGGTGTTCTGCTATCAACATAATATTATGTTATCTGTGAAATTTACTCGTACCTTTCTAGTACATGAACTAATCTAAAGATAAGTGAATTGTCGCGCCATCTATTGGGAAGGTCTAAACTAATGGACCCGCGAACATTTTCTGACCCGTGGTGTGAGGCTTTATGCATCGGACCGGCGATACGGAATGCGCGCTGGTTCGAGTCTCGGGGGGAGAAGAAATTTTCTCATGAGCTTTCGACCAGTGTATGGGACCGGCGCCAACCCAGTATCGTGAGGAAATTGGGGAGCTACAATGAATAGCGTAATCCGGTCAGGAAAACTAGCAATGCCTGGGGGTTCGTCGTGCTGACCACAGGTCATCCTATATCTGGTTGGATGATCGTTCACCTCTGCTTAGGCATGTGAACGTGAGGCCAGCAGTCAAGCTAGTCGGCTTTGGCTCTCTGGAGCTGTTACCATGGATTTATTTTATAACCCGGATAGAATTACCGAAAACCTGCTTAGCCCTCTATTGGCAGAGACATGAACTAATGTAAAGATTATGTGAACTGCCGCGCCATATGTACCTGTGTGTAGGATCAGTACAATGTGTGCATGAGTAAAAACCACGTTATATGTTGATAATATGTGTCCCAGATACTAACCTCTGGTGATCAGTGTAGATAAATTTTTATAATCTGTGGAAGTAGG